ACTGTGACAACAGACACGAAAGCTTTTTATCGCATTACAGGTAGGTGATTATTTACTAAATTTGTGGCAATTTTAAACATCCAGTTACTACAGTATTGTGGTTTCCAGATTTGGTCAAACCATAAACTTCTTCTTTGTAGAATATAAAACCATGATTTACTCATTAAAATGGAAAAAAAAAGAGGAAATTAAAAATTAACAGTCGTCCACCAACAATTGGTCAAACTCAGGTTATTTCATTAAAACTGTTACTTCAACGTGTCAGATTTCTTTTTGTATATAAAAAATTAAGGCTCTTTACGATCTAAGTACAAAATGTGAATAGTCTTACTTGTTTAAGAAGCGTGCTGCAAACGTTTGATTTTGGTGGGTAAACATTTTTTGGCTATTGTGTACAACAGATGGATGATTTTTACGGCAAACACTGACGACAGATATAATTAAAACTTAATATATTTCATATGTATTAAGCCAAATAAATGAAGTAAATTTAAAGAACTTAGTTTTAGTATTCCTTTTGTAAGGAGACCTATCGGCCCGCATGCGATAGTCAACATTTTTTGTGATGAGAACATCGAAAACTGACTGAAAACCAAGTTGTTACCGATTGCCATTATCCATATGATTATCTGTCGTCAGTGTTTGCCATTGAAATCATCCTTCTGTTAACGATATTATTGCTCCTTATCATCCATTTTATATGGGAAAAATTTTCACAACTAAAAATTTCGATAAAATCTTGAAGCTAGGGGTCGTGTCAAAACCGGAGGTTTGATAATCGGCAGTATCCCCCACATGTAATGAGATAAAATATCCTTTTGGAGTAAAAGTCCCCGTTGTTCCTATTTTAAAGGTACATGTATATTTTCAACACTGACGTTTAAATGATACTAACATTTTACGCTTTTAAAGCTAACCTTATTCATGTTATTATATGGTGATTAAGGTGTTAATCACAAGAAGCAAACGTATTAGAGAAATGGTTTCCACAAAAGTTTTTACGCATAAGAAAACTTAATTGGTTCACTGTTGAAAAAAATGTTCGGTATAGCCGTATTTCACCATATTTCTTTCGGATACCTCGTCTTATTTTAACGATATATACCCAAATGCGCTCGTTACACTTAAATGATTCTTGAGTCGGGTATTTACTTTTGCACATCTCCGATGGTTTATTATTTTAGAAAACGTGGGCTTATCAAGACATTTCAAAACCACAACAGATTAAAAAGGTCATAATGATAATTATGAATATTAATTATTGTTTTAAATCACAAAGTATAAAGAAAAGAAAGAAATTGCAAGTTTGGAAGTAATTTAAACTTAGTTACACGAGTAAGTATTTTACAGAACATCAATATATGCAGAATAAACTTGACATATAAAGCAGCAAAACTCGTATACACAATTTAAAATTATTCATGATTAGACAAAAAAGCACCACCAACGTTTTTGCTTTTCAAGTCTATATGCAGTTGAAGCAAGAAAAAAACTTCGAAGGCTGTTAACTTATCCATAACCGAAAATAAGATCACTGCATCTGTTCGAAGATGTACACAGGTGATATATACTCCGAATTCCATTTTTTGAAATATGTATCACAAAAAAGAAATAAACTTGAAAACTCAATTGTGATCACAATGCCACTACTCCATACAGTCTAGCACGTCGATACACTTTAGTAGTCTGTTTTGATCAGATTTTGCTCAGAGAAAATATCACAAGTGAATAAGTATATAAATAAATAGTTTATTAGAAATATTAGAAAATGATATGCATTGTTGTATATACTTTGACTATTTCGTTCTTTGTTATAAATCCAAAATCAGTTCTATTGAGAAATAATTACAGAAAATTTTAAACAAAATTCAAAACTAGACCTAAATGAATGGTTTTAATTTCTCCAAAAGTAAAACTGCTTGCGTTCATTTTTGCACCAAATGGAATGCCCATGACATAATGAACCGCATTTACACTATATGGAAAGCCAATTTAAGTTGTAAAGGAAATAAAACAAGGCGAACACAAAGTTTACTCATTAACCATTTCTTTTTGTGTGTTTTGTCCTGCTTGGCGTACTTCTTGATCACCAATACATAGCTGCTTGTTCTTTAACCGAAAAAAAATAACGAAAGAATTAAACATGAAAAGAATAAAATATATTGCTTTGAAAAATGTTTAAAATTCCTTTGAGCTCTTTGTTAGATGTCGAAATTATATATTTTTTGCTAAAAAAAAAATAGATCACAATAAAGTTTTGTAATTAATGCCGATTTACAATGTTTTCTAATTACCTCTATATCAAGATTTACAACCAAAGTGTGAATTTATCTGCAACTATTTTTAGCTTGATATAAAAATAAAACTGATCTTTTGAAATTTTATATTCTTGTCTATGTATAAATTTGTTTAATTTCATTTATGAAAAAAGTTGTATATTTCTTTGTTTTCAGCAGGGAAAGTTTAATCGCTTACTTACATTTAAGTTTTTAACTGTTTTTTCAAGCGATCTATTTCTCTCTGCAAACTACTTTCATTTGCCTGAAAAAAACAGAACATGTCATATTTGACCCATCATCATATATGATACCTGGTCGATACAGTCGAACTATGTACATGGTGTCCCATAATATATGATACCTGGTCGATACAGCCGAACTATATACAGGATATCCCATAATATGATACCTGGTCGATACAGTCGAACTATGTAATATTTTTGAAAGTATATTTGTCGTAGTTATTTTTAAGTTGTTTTTTTAAATAGAATTATATTATCGAATTTCAAAAAAAAGAGAAAGAAACTTCAGAATAGTTGAAACCCTCTGAGTTTCATGAACATGTTGAAACTTTTAAGCAATTTATTTACATAAGTTAATTGAAATACTTCGATACAGGTAGTGTTAGACTTACAGTATAAACATAACTATATACATGTAGGCGTGGCTCTATAGTAAGACATATTTAGATACTTACATTTGTAAAACAGATATTACAATAAAGGATATGGAGATAACGAACAGTATTCGATCTCACATTCCATAAAACAATACAAATTAGGAGCACAGCAAACACAAACCTTCGAATCATCAACTATCCCCTGCTGACGGGTCACACTCGCCATGTACTCCTTTTAACGCAAATACCAATTAACTGTTACATGATAGTTTGAAAACAAATTAATATATTTTGTCTTCATGCTTAAAGTCCGACGAGGGTCTAGGCGAGCCCTAGACATTAAGTGTTCTACCTTTTAGAAATGAAAGACGGTGAAATTGTTCGATTAGAGTTTCGGCTAGAGATTATTTATATGTATGGTTTTCCTAATTATCACAGATCTTACTGTGTCGGCAATTTTTTTGAAAAGCTTGAAATAAAAGATACCACAAGGTATTTCACCTCTGTTTCATACTTGGATATTTCACTTGAAAAAGACATTAATGGTAATCTAACAACCAAGCTATAAGATAAAAGTAATGACTTTTTCGTCAACTTCCCTATCTTATGCAACAATATTCCTTCATCATCTGCACACGGAGTATATATATCTCGGTTGATTTGATACGCACGGGCATGCTCTACGATGAAACAAGAATATTAGCAGTCTCTTTTAAACTCATCATTTCATCAGTTCTATTGTCAATACCATGAACTTGTCAACAAATACAATTTATCATTTAGTCAAATGCTGAATGTCTTTTTCATACTGATTGTTAGGCCATTATATATACACTAAATTGTCGACGGATTTTCCCGTTATCTCCGATCATGACAAGGAGCACACGGGGGGGGGGGGGGGGGGGTTGACCGGTCAGCAGGGGAGTCTCCCTCCTCCATAGAACCTTATCCCACCTCTGATGTTTCGGAGGTCCGTGTTTGCTCTGCTCTTATTTGTATTGCTTTATGGACTTTGAGATTGAATACTGTTCGTTATCTCCATATTCTTCTTATAGTACATTCATTTATCCCCAATTTTATACAGATATTTTCCCTCGTTCTTTTTTTTGAAAAGAATTATAACCATTCTTGTGTTTCGATTGTACCTTGTATACAATGTATATAAATACATCACTATTGGGAATCAGTTTATTATGAATCACAAAAGGTAGTAATCTATGTCATCGGTTATTTTTGGAAATACATGTTAAATGTTTTTCAATATACATGTATTTTAATTGATGTTTTCTTGTCTGATTGTCTACGTAACTGTCTGTCTGTTTATCCTCAAAACGCTAACTTGCCGCCAATAATAATTGATTGATTTGAGCAAATGCTTTTTTATTTTACAAGTGCATTTTCGTGATAAGGCCATTCTTTCTGTACCAACTTATTTGACTTGTTGCGGTTTCGTTTAAAATCATCATTTCACAAGTTATGGTTTACACAATGATCTTGTCAGCAACTACAATTTATCAATTCACGCACGAGCATGCCCTACGATGAAACAAGAATATCAGCAGTCTCGTTTAAACTCATCATTTCATCAGTTCTATTATCAATACAATGACCTTGTCAACAAATACAATTTATCACTGAGTCAAATACTGACTGACGTATTTCATGCCAATTGTTCGTCCATTATTAATACACTAAATTGACGACGAATTTCTCCATTATTTCCCGATCATGACAAGGAGAACACAGCGGATATGAACGCTCGACAGGGGATGCTCACTGTTCCATCGCACATGACCCAACAACTGATGTTTTGGAGGTCCATGCTTCCTCTGCTCCTGTTTTCCATTGTTTTGTGAAGTTTGGATCTTGAATACTGTTTGTTATCTCCATTTGACATTTTGATCTTTGAATTTGACCAATCAGGAGAAACATTAAAAACTTATACCTTTGCCATAGCTTATACTTATTCTGTGATACACATTCACGTAGGATTTCTTAGTGACGAAGTGTTTTCCTGAATGAACTATATGAACGAAAATATTCAAGCTCAAATGTCCATGAAACAATAGTTTTGAGCAGAGCAGCCTTCACAACATTAGAATTTAGATCATGTACCTTGGAGAAATGTGTATCCTCTGTCAACAGGTGAGATGATATACTTACATTAGGAAAAACACATTCCTTGACACTGTGTACATGTTATACCGGTTGATGATTTTAAACTTATAAAACTTAAAACAAATGTTGATTAAGGACTAAGATAACAAATGTGTTTACCATTCTTCGCCCTCGGTCTCTTAAAATGGCCGATAATGTATACAATATTGGGTTTAATGCAGAATTTATAGGTAAAACTAGCACTACAATCCAAGCGTAAACTTCACTTGATATGTCTATTCCATAAAAAGTCAGCATTCCTAAAAAAAATAGCTTCAAATCATCTAAAATAAATTCATAATTATTTTTTTTTTCCTTCAAAAGGAATGACGTTTGATATTATTCAGGTGCATTGAAACAATGTATAAAATAATAAAAGTGTTGTTATATTCTGTAAAATATACATATTTTACTTTTATATATCATAAAATATGTACTGATACACATCCTTTAACCAAGAAAAAAACTTACCAATAATTCCGATAGGTATCCAGCAGAACAGATCAGTCAAAACCACTGCAACAACAGTCTTGGCCAAAGATATCTCTCTTCGACGCATGTTTGATGCATTACTATTTCTACCGGATTTGACAGCCTCAAACAGAATAACAAACTGACCAACAGTTATGACCGAAAATATAAAGAAATTAAATCCAATAAATATGATCATAGCATATTGCCAGCCGTTTTGTCTATATACAGATAATGGTAAAGATATGCAGATAGGAGATTGAGCATAGAAGTCCTTAAACATAGACAACTGAAATGGCATAATGGGTAAAACAGACACAAAAATTGCCGTAGACCACGATAGAAATGATGATGCAACAATCCAAGCCATATTTCTTTGATGTAAAGGATGCCTTATAGCTACAACTCTGTCAATCGTTATTAACGAGACAAAAAGTGCCGATGCCTCACTTGAAACTGTTGCTATTATCCCTGCGAAAGTACAAAGAAAGCTATGACGCCATTCGTGATCCTGAAATCCATAGCTACCGGTATAAATCAAGTTCACTGTAGCTATAATGTATAAATAAATACCCATTAACAAATCAGCAATATTCAAGTTTCTACAAAAAACAAAGTATGCAAAGGAAAATCTTTTTTTGAACTTCGTTATGCTGTAAAGAAAAGCTATGATGTTACCAAATGTTGCAAACAGTGCTATGTACCAAAGAACGATATTTAGGATAGGTACGCTGATTAAATTTTCACAAGACGATATTTCATTTCTAGGTGCCACACATTGAACCTCAAAGACACTACGTGGTTTTGCACAACAAATAGAAAAAACATCGACCTTAAGTAATTTAAGATTAAACAATCCAAGAAACATATCCTTCACAGAAATAATATCATTGTTTTGTATAAATAGGTTCTCTAAATTTTCCAAGTTTAAAAATAGTTCATCACCGAAATGGGTAATGTCATTGTTGGATAAATCCAAAGTATAGAGTTTTTTTAAATTGAAAAAGGCTTTTTTATGAATAAATGATATCTTGTTAGAATTTAAAAACAAATAATTAAGACGTGTTAATGATCTAAACATGTGCTGGTTGACATAGGATAATGAGTTATTAGAAAGATCAAGTAGACAGAGTGATATCTGATCCTTTAATGCGTTGTCTTCAATATTCCGTACACGATTACTCTGTAAACGGATCTCCTGCAAATAATACGACCTTTTGAAATCCTTACTCCTTATAACTTCGATATCATTGTAGGAAAGGTCTACAAGTTTAACGTCTCTGTAGAAGAATCCAAAATTATCAATATACTTCAAGCCATTGTTATGTATCGTGAAATAGTTTCCTGAAAATGAGGACTCCTCTTTGAAAATATTTAAGCTTAAAATCTTTTCGCTGTTATCTAAAAATAATATTTTGAAATTAATACCAAAAAAATGAAGGTAAAGTGATGCATGTAATTTGCTTGAAATGAATTCAAAAATGTTTTCCAATGGAAATATCATTCTTGCATGTCTTCTATAATCTATTAAACGAATTGATATGTTCATATTCTTAGTTATATATGAATCCAATGTCATGTCAATGTATTCATCATAAAAAGAAAAGATTGCTTCAATGCCCTTTATCCTCGAATCGGTCAATGAAGAAAGTTCAACTGTGAAATAAAATTCCATATTATACATCACGATTAATAATTTTGCGTATCTTATTGTGCAGTTTTTCATATGTAGTCTTTGTAATTGTTGTGAAATTCTGCTTCCTTGAATAATTGTTAAATTATCAATCGTACTATGAACAATATTGATGTGCTGTAAATTGTCCAAAAGCCTTCGGTCAATTAGAAGGACTTTTATATTCGTTGTTTTTAAATTCAGAGAATAAACAGGAAGCGAGAATAGCTCATTGGAGAAAATATATTGGCAAGTAATATGGCGCCATTCTAAAAAATGATGGACGTTTGACACGTAACTGAAACATTTTCCCACGACTTTTGAAGACTTGCATGATCTTGGACATTTTTGGTTACATTTCCATAAACTCGAAGAAAAAATACATTGATGATTTCTCATGCTATTATTTGAGTGTTGAAATAAAACATGAGAATTTGCAACTTTGTTTAAACTGCCATTGCTTTCAAAGACTTGGCTCAAATCAGAACCATTAGTAAGGACATCAGAGGAACAATCACTTGCAGTATTTTGTCTTTTGTGCTTGGCCTCATTTGAATTATATATCAAAGTATTGCAACTTAGGGTATTTGCAACAGGTACAGTACTGTGCCTTCTCGATGCTTTCTGATTAACTTTACCTAAAAACAATATTTGATTATTGGAGTAAACGTTCATGATATCATATGATTATATTATCTTCTACAAATTAAAATTTATCTTTAAATTATCTTTTTCAACTTGGTTCTTCAATGAAATATGTAAGATATATGTGTTTTGATAAGAAATTTTTCATGGATGAATTCTGAAATCTTACAATTTTCTTCGTCACTTTCATCACTGCAGTCAGCTTTTCCATCACAAAAAAAACTCCGTGGAATACATTCTTTACTTTTGACACATCGAAAGTCTCCGGCACTGCACTGTGGAGTGACTGAAAAATAGTAACGGTTCACATTCATGAGAAATTAAATACAAGTAGATATTCCTGTGTCTCAAACTACATAAGTTTACTGGAGCTAGGCCGCATATCTTGAAAGGAGTTATATTCACAAGTTCGGTTGTACTGAATTCTAAAATTTAATAACGTTTTTAATTAAAATGCCGTTACCGATGTATTATAAAAGATTTTCATGTGTAAAAAAACCAATAAAATCTTAAAATCCTATAAATAAATCAATTAATCAATTTCTAAGATATAAAATGTAAATCCAACAATCAATCACAGTTAAAAGAAGAAAACGATATGTAATGTATAAATTAATATTACTTACATTTACATGGACCATTAATGATATAGATGTCATCTATTATCACGGAACTGTTCCTGAAGAAATTAAACCGAGACTGAAATACTATCTGAAACGATAATAACAACAGTTTACTACCTCCTCACAATGACTAGTGATCAAGGCAGACTAAAGCTAATGCCTAAGCGTCCGATTTTAAGAAATCATAGCGAGCGCAGCGAGGCGGCGCGAATCGCCCGCTCGCATAGCGAGCTCAAGGTGTCACAACAGCATTAATTTCTGATATATATTCTTACCAAAAATGCACAAGTTTGAGTAGATGTAACTAAGTAAATCAAGACAAACTTCTGAGAAGTTTCCTTTTCAGATCTTGTAAAACTATTCTTTATAAAAATTTTAGTACCAAAAAATACATAGCTATATAGCAAGGCATGCAAGTTTGTTTCGGTCGAAGTCGAGCAGGTGCCTGAACATCTAGTCCAGGGCCTAATCACTCCCCACTCCTGACAGTATATAGAAAAATCAGCACGCCCTAAATTTTATTAAATCCGGTCAATAAGGAAGTCTATACATCTTGTTTTCATCTCATAAAAAAATTCAGCTCCAGTCCTGTATCTAAATGCCCGAATCGGAAGGGAAGATTCCGGGATTATTTTTCGTCAGCCATGATTTCACGTGAACCAAAGTGTAAATTTAACTTTTTTTTTCTTTGCCGGTATATTGTTGTTTTCCCGATCTATGATGATTATTTAACAAAACTCGGTGACAGGGGACTTCACGGTGAACACAGATTTCTAAAAATATGGCAAAAGTTGAACTATATGTAATGATCTTGCGAGTCAAACTTGTGCAGTTTTTTCGTTTTAATTTTTCATTGGATGCATATTGCAATTGATTCATATGAGGATGAAAAATTGTTCAAAATAAGTTTGCTTTCTATAACAGGGAGAATGAAATAGTTTTTTTGTCATAAGGTTGGGGGTTGGGTTAAAAAAAGGGCATTGAAAAAATAAATGTTATTGAAATATTAAGGTGTTTAATGCTCAATTACGATTGAGTTGCCTCAATAATTATTTTTTTCCGACCGGATTTCTTTATCTGTTACCAATGTGTTCCAAATAAACCGATGTTTTCACATATTCAGAATTTTTATTTTGCTCCGAATGTGGTCTACATTTTTTAAATTTATAGATTTTAAAATTATTTATGAGAAAATAATGTTAAGGAGTGTGATGGCAAGGTATTTTTTCAAATATGTCCTGTAAATTTCATGCATTTCTCTCAACCCGATACATCCAAATCAGGTCGTGGTGTGGCCAACATAATTTATTTTAGAGGAAATCTGGACTAATTTTCAAGCTCCATTAAACATAAACGAACAGCGATGACGGTCGAAAAATGCCATTAGTTCTCATTTTCCGTCTAAACTCACAAAATAAAACCTTAATTCTTAGACAACAATTTTTTTAAAGTAGAAAATTCGGTTTTACTGCAGGTGTCACAACAGTATTAATTTCTGCTATATATTCTTACCAAAAATGCGCAAGTTTGAGTAGATGTAACTAATTCAAAACAAACTTCTGAGAAGTTTCCTTTTCAGATCTTGTGAACCCATTCTTAAAAAGATTTTAGTAACAAAAAATACAAAGCCATCCAGCAGGACACGCAAGTTTGTTTGAAGTCGAACCCCCAGCAAAAACAAAAAATCCGATGTATCATACTGCTTTGAGACAAACGCTCTAACCATTATGCTACATGGCTCATAATGAACTTGTGCATTTAAATCATGTTTGTGATATGACCCCTAATTTATTTAATGGACTTGAAGTATTTCTTGGAAGATGTGAATGTTTTGTCATAAATGTGTACTTTTGAGGTATATGGTGGGTATTCGCTCCAGGTTTCGGTAAATTACGAATTGTATATTCTATTGGAAACGTTTGGGATTAAAGACCCACTTAAATTGACAAAAAATGTTAATAATTAGAAAATTACAGTTTTTGTTCTTTAAGTGTGTAGGTATACTTTTTCATAAGCGAATATTTTCAGTATTTGTGAGATTTTTGTAAATTGTAGAAATTTTACATATTATATAGTTTGATTTTAGATAAAATATCAAATAAAATTCATATACAATTGAGAATAATTTTTTCATTTTATATCTGTCGCAATATAGACACTTCCCCGCCTTATCCACAATCTTCTCATCATAATGCTTTTAATTTAAACTTCTAAACGTTGATTTTATTCAAAATTCAAATTCAAATGAGGTATTAAGCGCTGCTTGATTTTACAGAAAAAAGATGTTCAATACGTCCGGTCATAATTTGAAAAAAATAAACACAAGAAATGAAAAAAAAAATCAGGTTACTAAAAGCTCTCATGGGAGTTGAACATGGTGACCCCTACTAATGTTATTGTGATTTAAATTCAAGACACGTGGTTTAGGTTGATCTATTCAAAGTTTATAGGATAGAACCGGTTTATAAATAAAATTGACAGTAAACATGATATTGCTATAGCCTGTTTCTTTTGAAAACATGTCCTGTTTTAAATGTTTCCATACCTTTCTGAAAGACTTTCATGATTTTCAACTGATAAAGGGTGGCTAAAGTAGGGGGTGTTAAAATAACAATATATCTTATACTTTTCGGCGAAAATTAAAGCTCACTAGTGACCGATTCGCTGGTAAAAAATGTGCACTTTCATCTACACTGACAAACCTTTGTTTGCCTTATATGACTATTGTTATAAATGCGCACAGAGGATCATACCACGAGCAGCTGACCAATCGTTAAATGAATAGCAACGTTTACGCCAAATACATGTTTACATTTTCGAACACGTAGTTCAGGTCAATCTACGATCATGTTAATGGAAGTGCAAAATAAAAAAAATGTTCTAACGAACAAATTACAAAGATAAAAAACTATGTAGTTTGTGTCTAGTTTAGAACACTAGCGCTTCAAGGGTAAGGAAAACGAGCAGCATCTCTTATGCATTTAAATGGACAAAACTTTGTTTACATTCGTATTCACTGATGCTACATTTGTACTTATATTTTCAGCTGATTCTAGGGTGGTGAAAACTGAAACGCAACACAACTTTTCTGTTTACCATGCTTCCACATGCTAGTCACTTCCTAACCACATTTCCGTGAATAATTTACCCTATCTCGCTGAAGTCTCGCTAACTCTCGAAATAACTCTTATTTTCATGTGAACAGATAGAAATGACCAGAGCAGAGGACATATAGCCCCCCCCCCACTCACCCCCCCAAAAAAAAAATCACAGTGGACTGGAAGAACAAAATATACAAAGTAGGAAAAATAACAGAAAGAAAAGAAGATCCAGCAAAAGTTGTCGCTGGTGCAAGATGGATATAGAGAGGGTTTTCTAATAATAATTACTAAAATCCACAGCAAATTAATATTGCAAGGCTGAGCTACTTTTCAAACGTACACAAAAGGACATAAAGAAATGTGAATTCGAGGAAACCAAGCTGACATCAAAGGAGAGAATATGAAGGAACAAATTTTAGCAGAATTTTTTTTAAGCAGAGCATCTGTTTTCCTTAGAGAAAATGTGTATTCTAAATTGATTCTAAATTGATTTCTTGTATTTTCAAAAAAATGTCACTGTTTAAGTGAAGGATTCCTTCCAATGTCATGTTTATTTTTATTTCTTTTCTATAAAAGTGGTTTTATGAAAAGAAGCAGTTTCTCCCCTTTTTATATCCCCACTCTGCAGGAGTGATGGTATACTGATTTATTATATACCCCCACATGGGCTCACAAATTTAGAGTTTTACACTGGCAGGCTTCACACAGTATGTCATGTATGATTACAAAATATGAATTCATTTTAACAATACTGAGAACAAGATTAATTGTGAAACACTGATACCCCCATACAGCGTATGTCACGACTCCCACGAGGTATCCCAAGAAAGGTCTTGTCACAAGGAAAACACCTGTGAAATATGAAAATCTAGTCCAACTTCAAAAGATGTGGTTAACGTTAAAGTTTTTTTAAGTCGGTCAATGTCTAAGGTCAAGGTCAAATGTTAAAAAATATTTATACCCATTAAAAGAACATAATATAACTGATCATCTGAATATTTTGATAAGCAATGTGGTAATAAAAATTAATTCCACAATATTTAGCATAAAAGGCCATTTAAACAAATTTGACTGCCTTCCCCCAACAGAATAACTAAAATTCAAAACCTTTTTTGTTACATTGCAAGACAGGATTTTTTTTTTATCCATCTTATCTCGTAAACATATATTTTGAAATTTTCTGGGAAAAAAGATTTTACAACCTACCTACCGACTTAATAATTTTACCCTGAGTTGGGGGAGGGCAAACAAACATTATAATCTAGATGGTCTTGCCAACTTGTTTTGACATTATATTGTCTGACCAACTTTCATATTTTCATAAGATACTTTCATATCATTTATTAAACATGAGTTTGCCTTTTTACTTACATTATACATTAAAAAAAAATAACCATAAGAAAATAGTTTGGAATTTGAACATATTTTAGTGAATAAATCGAAAGGATTGGACACAATTAGGGGCCATTAAAAGATTTGTAAGAATTTATTCCATATTTAGATTAAAATAACTAGAAGCGTGATTTGTTTCCATGGCAACATTTAAATTTACCTGTCACTGAGTTAATTTCAGAAGTTCTATTTAATTACTGAAAGAAATTTAAATACTTGACATATTGACATACGAGGGGTGTTAGAAAAGTTTGCGGACAAGTTCAATTGTGAGCGCGCTATTTCCACGAAACCGGTCAACCTTTCCAGATAGAATCTTTACCTTTTTTCCAATAAATATACAAGAAATTTTTTCTCTCCGGTGATTATTAAAAATTATACAGCTTTTTTATTTTGATAAAACTTGCTTCACGGAGCATGCTACATTTTGGCACGTTTACATCACAAAGACTCTTTATTAAAATTAAAAATTGCACAATTGTAACGCAAAGAGGTTTATGATATTTTACCTGCCGCTAAAGTATTCATGAAACATCACTGGGAGAAATTTTGAACTAAATTGGAGGGTATCTGCATGACTGTTTTATAGCCGTTTGTATATGATCATTGCGTAAAAACACAGCCAAAAATCGGAACGTCATTGAGCGTCATGGAGCACTGCACTACGTAAAAATTATGTATGCAGACTGGAAAATGTCTAAAAAGAGATTAAAATGTTCAAGATGCTGCCGGGAATTTCCTACACCTACAAAGGAGAAGTTTTCAAATGGTTGAAGCTTCATAAGAATGGAAGGATTGACATTTTGAAAGATTAACTCCAGCGATACTTCAGTACCCCCGTATCGCATGGACGTTGCGTTGCGCCTATATGGTAATGCATAGTTTCCATACCTGATCCATTAACTGCATAAACTTTTTTAAGATCTCATTAATATCCGAATCAGTACAAAAGACATTGTCGAAGAAAAGTAACATTTCTTGATATATAGATATTCAATTTTAAAGTAGAAAAAAGATCAGAAAAATCTAAAGATTTATAGAACTGCGACAAACGTTAACAGGTTGAAATCTGGTTGTTACGTCGCCTTACGTCAAGTGATTGCTGCGTGAATCCCATAACCTCACAGTAAAAATCGTTGTAAATTTTCAAGATTTTATTATATGGACCTGATTTTTGACATACAAATAAACAAAATGTAGGAATTAATTCAGACATAGATCATACTTCACAGTACTCAATAGATTTTCCGTAATTCAATGTGTCCTCGAACTTTTCTAACGACCCTTGTATACTCATACAACATACATGAAACAATTTGTTCAGTTTGGTAAAACATGTTCTTAGATGATCTTCTGTTATTTGTGATTAATGGGGGGGGGGGGGGGGGGCATTCATGCAATAATTTCTAGAAAGTTGTACATTTACCCATTAATTTATTAACTTTGTTATTCTCACAAAACATAAGAATATGAAGGTTATTCAATGATACATGGTTACAAATATATCTGTTGTCAAAATGGTAAACGATTTCATTGAATATGACTAAAAAAATCAATTTTGGCAAATTGCCAATTTTCATGCAATAATTTCTAGAAAGTTTTTGACTTACCCATTTTTTTCTCATAAAACCTTAGAATATATAGTTTGTTTAATGATACATGGTTACAAATATATCAGTTGTCAAAATGGTGTGAAAAATTTCATTGAATATGACTAAAAAAGTCAAAGAGGTAGGGGCTCCATTAGCGAAAATCGGCCCCAGCTCAAAAATAAATTTTATTTTTTTGATTATATGTTGTGGATGTCTATTTTTTAAAAATACCACCAATTTGTCCAAAAAACTTAATTTAAGGAGAAAATTAAGGCATTGATTGACCACCGTTAATAGTAACGTTAACGTTAAAAAGTAGCGTCATTACGTAATACACACACAGTTACTCAGTACCCCTCTCAAAGATCACAGAGTTAACATACTCACTAATATTGATAAGAACAACAAAACGTTTTTGATAGGTTACAACCGCTAAATTTTTTTTTGTCAGGGTATAATGATGATAATCTGATGGTTGTCATAGCAACGAATTTTCTTTATAAATATGTCTCTGACTACATTAAAAACAGAAAGGAAATATCTCAAAAACTTGACAATTTTAGCCATTTTCAAAACGTTGATATGTTTTGTTGCCAAGTAGAGGTCATCAGTAAATTAATGTGAAGACTTCTGTTCAGTTTATTATTCCTCTTAATAAAACAATTTTTTCTAAATGAGAAGGGCGGGGGGAGGGGGGGGGGTATATAATATCGTTCATGAAATGTGACTTTTGAACCTCATTTAGGATTTTTAAGTACTTGTTAATATGGATATTAAAAGATGTACATGTCTAATTATTTCTACAATAATATTTAGGGGATATTGTAAGGCAATTGTGTGTGTTTGTATGAGGGCTAATGAGCGAGTTAATTCCGTGCAAAACGGAGGTGACGTAATTTGCATCGGGATCGATGTCCAATGTAGTCTTGAACTTGATCGATATGATTGCAAGGGGATGCTCAGCTTTAATTCTGTCGTCCTTGTTATTCTTTAGATTGACATAAATTATTGTGTGGACATTACTAAACTTTTTCATTTTGATAATCCGAAAAAAATATTAAAATAAAGCACGTAAGAATTGGAATTGGTGATGTTTTTAAAATATTTTATTTATGATTTTATACATGTTATCATTTAAAAAAACATTTTACTGAAGTACTAAAAAAATAACGTCTCTAATATATACAACCACAAATAGATCGGCCGCTCCTGCGGCCGAAAATTATGCTCCCCTCAAATCAAAATGCTTTAAATATTTAGTAATAGTGATTTTTTTTTTTTTATTATTTCTTTAAAAAAAAATTCTTATACTATAGGAAATGTTCTTTTAAAATCTGGTTGCCCCCCCCCCCCCCGCATTGAAAAAAAAATTGGCCTTCAGAACTTATCAGTATATGTACGTCACACACACACACACACACACACACACACACACACACACACACACACACACACACACACACACACACACACACACACACACACACACACACACACACACACACACACACACACACACACACACACACACACACACACACACACACACACACACACACACACACACACACACACACACACACACACACACACACACACACACACACACACACACACACACACACACACACACACACACACACACACACACACACACACACACACACACACACACACACACACACACACACACACACACACACACACACACACACACACACACACACACACACACACACACACACACACACACACACACACACACACACACACACACACACACACACACACACACACACACACACACACACACACACACACACACACACACACACACACACACACACACACACACACACACACACACACACACACACACACACACACACACACACACACACACACACACACACACACACACACACACACACACACACACACACACACACACACACACACACACACACACACACACACACACACACACACACACACACACACACACACACACACACACACACACACACACACACGCACCACACACACACACACACACACACACACACACACACACACACACACACACACACACACACACACACACACACACACACACACACACACACACACACACACACACACACACACACACACACACACACACACACACACACACACACACACACACACACACACACACACACACACACACACACACACACACACACACACACACACACACACACACACACACACACACACACACACACACACACACACACACACACACACACACACACACACACACACACACACACACACACACACACACACACACACACACACACACACACACACACACACACACACACACACACACACACACACACACACACACACACACAGCCCCCACCCCACACGAAATACGATTTTCGTGTTTGTACAACTTTTTTTTCTTAGCTAGTCAACTAGTTCAGGTAAGTGAAAAAAATTCTCTGGCTGCCCCACCCCCACTTTCAAAATCGATGCTACGTGGCTGAACTATAACATTTTTTCATGTCATGTGATCAAGACAAACCCCTTCCTGTTCAGAACTTATCATTATATGTACGTCGTGGGATTAAATTAACTGTGTGACGTTGAGACACTTCGGATGAGATCGTATAAATCGGTGTCCACTGTTGTTTGTCACGAAAAAGAACCCTCGCTGTTCAATGGCTCCGAGTACTGAGTATGGGTATAAATAAGCAGGTGCTGATCCAGAAATTTCTTCAGAGGGGAGGGGGGGTTTCACCCCGATAAAGAAAAATTGTCAACCCAGAAATATTCTGACAAACAAATTAAACAAAAACTTAACGCATTTCCCAAACATGAATCGTGCCATTGGTCGTCCACATGGCACAGTGGTTATATAGCGTCTGCTCTAGAGTCATGAAGTAAAGAGATCCTTACATCGCGGGTTCGAATCCCACTGTGAGACGTTGAAACCGGTTTTCGAATAAAACGAGTTCCCGTGTGGCAGTAGGTGCTGGCACGAAAAGGATCCCTCCTAGCTCAATGACCCTGAGTGCCGAGTGTAAGATAAAATGTGTAGCTCTCCACTAGTGGCATCTGGCGTCTCCATATAAGTGAAAATCCTCGAAATGTATTCGATCAACACTCACTAAAACCACATTCAGTGACTGACTTTTCATTTCACATAGAGGTATCTGTTTTCAAGGTGGGTTCCGCGTTTTCCAAAGGTGTGTGTGGTGGTGGGGGGGGGGGGGGGGGTGGTGGAGGGGGGGGGGGTGTGGGGGTGGAGGTGTCCAAGGTCTCTTTTATTTGGTTAAATATATGAATTTGCTAACTCTGCAAATTCCGGGGGCGGACCAAACTACCTTTATCCCTTTTAGATCCGCAAATGGGCAAGGCACATTGTTTCCATGAGTGAAAGATTCTCAAGGGGTCAATAAACAACAATTAATCCCCCCTTTCGAGCTGAAACAACTTAGCTTCAGCATATGAAATTAATAGCTATCTGATTTACACAAAGTTTTTCCTCCTTGGAAAAGAATGTCTCCGATTTTTTTAAAAATACAACATTCCATTTATTCATATCAAGTAATGTGCAAGTGAGTTGAAATTTCACTGTTATCTTTCATTTTAAGTACAAACTATTTCCAAATGGTAATTATTATTATGATAATCTCATTTTCTTCATCCCCCACCCCTTGTTTTTTTTTATCCCAATATTTTAACTGTTTAAGTAGAATGTATCTATGCTTTGATATAGTTACCAAACGCCTTGTTTTCCCTAACATTTTCATTTTTTAAGTAGAATGTATATGTGCTTGCCTTTGGTATACATAACAGACGCCAGCCCTTTTCCAAAGAAAACCTTACATGCATGATACGTTAATAAGTCTGTGTGACTAGTTTCGACATGTACAATCAATACGTACTACGCATAAGCAAAAAGTTATGTATATGAGTTAATACAAGTTAAAATTATATGTAGTTTTTAGCTCACCTGAGCTGAAAGCTCAAGTGAGCTTTTCTGATCACATTTTGTCCGTCGTCCGTCTGTCTGGGTGTCTGTCCGTCTGTAAACTTTTTACATTTTCGACTTCTTCTCAAGAACCGCTGGGCCAATTTCAACCAAACTTGCAACAAAGCATCCTTAGGTGAAGGGGATTCAAGTTTGTTCAAATGAAGGGCCACGCCTTCATTCAAGGGGAGATAATTGGGAATTAATGAAAATTTGGTGGTATGTTTTAAAAATCTTCTTCTCAAGAACCACTGTGCCAGGAAAGATGAAACTTATGTGGAAACATCCTCAGGTAGTGTAGATTCAAGTTTGTTCAAGTCATGACCCCCGGGGGTAGGGTGGGGCCAAAATGGCCGACCAAAGTTTTACATAGAAATATATAGGAGAATTCTTTAAAATTCTTCTTCTCAAGAATAACAAAGCCATAATTGATCATATTTAAATGGAAGTATCCTCAGGTAGTGTAGATTCAAATTTGTTCAAATCATGAGCCCCGGGGGTAGGGCGGGGCCGCAATGGCCGACCAAAGTTTTATATAGAAATATATAAAAAATCTTTTTTCTTAAGAATTCCATGCAAAGCCATAATTGGTCATATTTATATGGAAGCAACGTCAGGTTGTGTAGTGATTTGGGGGGTAGGGCGGAGCCACAATGGCCAATAAAGTTTTACATAGACATATGTAGGAAAATTCTTTTAAAATCATGTTCTAAAGAATGCCAAAGCCATGATTGGTCATGGGACTACTTTTGGATTTAAACTTTTTTATAAACCAATTTGTACTTTTTCATTCCCACAGTGCTCAGGTGAGCGATGTGGCCCATGGGCCTCTTGTTTTTTATCTATCTATTACGGTAACGAGAGGGGGTCGTTATGATTTTTTTTTTATCGTTGTTTGCTAAGCTAAAAGAAAATTGACGATCTTCAACTGTATGTACGGTCGATCTTTTGTAATTTCTTTCCACCCGAATATTATTTGGATTTTATTTTCG